AGCCTTCCTGCCCTCTGGGTAATTCTGAACCAGGTTAACACCTTTGGTAACCACTGAACTGTAATATATAATATATACATGTATATATTACATATGTATCCAATATGTGTATATATGTATACAATATTATATATTATTATATGTTATTATATATTATACATTATTGAATATATATGTATTACTACATATACTAGCAATAATATATATTATTGAAAAAATATATACATATATATCAGTGTCTTATAAAATTTGCATACTAATTATAGCTATCTGAGAGTCTTGTTAAAACACAGAATCTTGGGCCCACAACTATAGAGTCTGATTTTGAGTTTGTGTGGGCCTAGTATTTGTGTTTCTAAGATGCCAGGTGATACTGATGGATACTTGCTGCTGGTCAAAGTTCAACACTTTGAATGGCACTACTAAATATTGTATCCCAGCTCTAATTTTTAGTATATGTGGTCAAACTAAAGAAATGGTTAGATTGAAAAAATGGATAAGGCCGTTTTTTTCAGGGAGGGTCACGACAATTAAATTGAAACAGTAGTGATGTGAAAGGGAGCTCCTGTGTGTGGTATAAAACTAAACTGTCCAAGACAGATGTGCCCAGAACTTGAGGGTTTTAAAATAATGAAAAACTTTATAAAATCTGACACCAGATCCTACTCCATGAGGCAGGATCATAGCTTATCTTCCAGGAAGCCCTTCAGTATATGAACCATTGCCATCATCTCTCTTTATAGCATTGTTTCTGTAGTGGAAGACATTCCTCACCCCTTTCTTTGGCTCAGAACCTCTGACCTGTGTATGATACACTTCCACAGGTGTGCTAGTTATTTTTGTTTCTTATTAAGACTTTATTGTTTAGAGCAGTTTAAGGTTCACAGCAGAATTGAGAGAAAGGGACAGAATTCCCATATGCCATCTGCACGCACACATGCATAGCCTCTCCCAATATCAGCATCACTCACTACAATGGTGCATTTGTTATAATTGATGAAGCTACACTGACATATCATAATCACCCAAAGTCCATAGTTTCCATTACAGTTCACTTTTGGTGTTGTGCATTCTGTAGATTTGGACAAATACATGACATGTATCCATCATTATGGTATCACAGAGTATTTTTCACTGCCCTAAAATTCCTCTGTGCTTCACCCATTCATCCCTTTGCCTTTCCCTCCATGCTAGTCATATTTAATAGCCTAATAACACAGTTCTCATGGAGCTATTACTGAGTGTTGGTGGAATGCATGACGTTGCTTCTGGTCCTGTTCAACTTCGGGTTTTATCAATGCCAATTACTTGGACATGGATTTTTCATTTTCATTCTCCTCTTTAAATCACTTTTATCATCCTCCTTAGATTTTGTCAGTCTCCTAATTTAACCCAGTTTTAATTTCCTTGTCTTTCTTTGTATATCTCAGATAGCCTTCTCCTAAAACAGCAGTCACACCCCAACAACACATCGGTACTTTGTTCAGAAACACACTGCACCACCACTAGTCAACTGATTCTGTAAGTCATTTATTCACATACACATTCTTGTATTCATTCCAAACTGCTTGGAATATATTGGGAAAAGGTCCCATTTCTTCCCCCTATGAGTTCATAGTATATTTAGAAAGACTTTGGAAACTATTGCCTAGGAATGAACTGACACATAACTGCAGCATGGAAGAGCATCCCGGGTTTACATGCCGGCTTCCTCAGTTATTAGATATCCCATCTTCCACTGTTTGCTTGGCTTGTCCATTGTCATCTGGAAAAGGGTTATAATTATATCTTAAGTGGGAAGTAGGAATATTTAGTAGGTTGATTAACGTAATGCCTTTACTACATACTGTGAGCCAGAAACATACTAATGCTCTAGGCTGGTTATTACCTATTCTTACCACTGTCTTTCTACTGCTCTAGCTCGGTACTTAGTGAGGGCAGTATGCTCTGTGGCCCACCACCTCTGAAGGGGCACTTGTACCCCATGTCGTGTTCACTACAGTTTAAAAGGAAATCTAGGAATGTTTAATGCAATGGAAGGGATTAGGTATTGGGGAATTTTAAGCATGTGCTACCTAGATTGGCAGGTCGTCTTCTTCGTTTTCTTCTTCTTCTTCTTTTAATTAGCTAAGCTTTTCTCTCATTGCATTTCTTATCCTATAATGTAAGTAGCAGCTTGTTCTACTCATTGTTTTGTAAAGCCAGCCCTTCTGGTGTTATCTTAGGGAAAGAACACAGTAGCGATGCCTAATGAATAAAGCCATCATGATTTTCCATCACCTTTAATTGTCTGACTAAAATGCTTGAGAAACAGCAATCTACAAAGACAATTGAAGGCAATCAGGTTGTTGAATTTGAAATCATTTCTACTTTAGAGAAATTAAACTTTTTCCGTATTCTAATGCAGAATTGTAAAGGAATCAAAACACTTTCCTTTTCAATATAATTTAATGCTTAATATGTTTGTATTACCACTCTCATTTTCTCAAAGGCAGGTCAAATGAACCCAACCATCAAATTATATGTTGTAAACCTATATGGACCAACTCATACTTTGGAACTCATGCCACCTGACAGCTTTAAATCAAGGTATGCAATCTCCATTTTATTTTTACTTGGAAATAGTTACTTTAACTTCAATTATCATTTTGTTGCAATTTAGAGAGAGGTGATAAGCTCAACAAATCCACTTGAAAATAAATCTGAGGTTGTCCCATTAGTGCAGGAATGAACTCATTCTGGATTTCTTGTTCTCAGGGAGCATTTAAAGTTTCCAAGTGATTAGCAGCACCACAAAATGACTAAATGTAGTGATATTGAGAATTGGGCCTTTTGCAGGAGATGTGACAGGGAGATGGGAGCAAAGGATAATTTTCCATTGAATATTCTTCCTGGAAATGCCTCTTTTAAAAGGACCTGAAAAGAGATCTTCTTTTTTTTTTATTATTTTTTTTATTTTTTTTCAACGTTTTATTTATTTTTGGGATAGAGAGAGACAGAGCATGAACGGGGGATGGGCAGAGAGAAAGGGAGACACAGAATCGGAAACAGGCTCCAGGCTCTGAGCCATCAGCCCAGAGCCTGACGCGGGGCTCGAACTCACGGACCGCGAGATCGTGACCTGGCTGAAGTCGGACGCTTAACTGACTGCGCCACCCAGGCGCCCCAAGAGATCTTCTTTAAAAGAGTACAGTCTTCCTAGAATTTGTGTGGTTTTTCCAGAAGAAATTCTCCCTATAATTTGGGAGTGATTCCCTAGGTTTCTTCTCCAGGCAGGGAAATGTAATGAGATGTTGTTTTAAAACATCCTACATAAGAAGCCTTCTTATTTAGGAAGTTTGAATGGAAATAGAAGAAACACTTTATGTGTCAGAAGCATCATTTTAATATTAGCAAAATTTCTAGTAGTGAACAGTGAATCAAATATCCATGTGGATTTTGAAATTCAGAGTGGTCTCAAACTTCAAGGGTGTTCTTTCAAATAGTGCAGCCCTTTAAAACTTTACAAAGGTCCTGGGGAAGGAATAGGTAGCTGACTTGGGAAAATACTTTCACACTATATTGGATGATATGGGGCTAAGCTCAAACTTTGTTTTGATGCCATCAACAATCAGTCCTAGGGGATTGATTCACCTATAAATTCCACTCAAACGTTGATCCATCAATGTATTCAGGAAAATTTTATCAGAATTGGGGATTTTCACAGATATTATAGCTTGAAGTATGTGGAAATGTTTCCTACTTATAAAGTTATTAAAAATTTATGGAAGGCTTACACCAGTAGGGCACCCATAACTACCTAATATAATTTGTTCCTATTAGTGATGGAAAAGATGAGGCTTGGGGAGAAAATTGAACCCCAAGATTAGTTGGTAGCAGAAGTAGAAAATGTGGTAAAGCCTCCTACAAGTTACAGAGCATTTCATGCAGGTCATGATGGAAGACCTTACAGGACCACTGGAATTAACATTTAGAAGGCAATAGAGTTGGCCAAATCAGGTAGGAACTCTAATTCCGCATTCGGTCTGCTAGCCATGAAGGAATTAAGCACAGATGAAATAATGATGGAAGCCATTTGTATTTTATGTCCTGAGCTCTTGTCTTTTTCTTCAGTTTGTTTTAATGCTCTTAATTAACAGAGAAGGTCACTAGACTGGAGTGTCTGAGTCAAATCTCTGCCATCATTTCATTAGGTGACCTTGGGCAAATCTCTCTCTCTCTCTCTCTCTGGGTCTGAATAACTTCATCTTAAAGTAATACACACACACACACACACACACACTTCATTTTCATTAATCATTTGAAATCTTTGAAGTGGAAGTCAACTTTACAATATCCAGTCTTCTGAGAAAAAGTGGTGATTCTGGACCTTGACCTTATAACCCAAGAGGCTGCTAGAGAGTTCACCCAATAGGATATAGCAATGTCACCAAACACAAAAATTCTTAAAGATAGAATCAATTGTCATTTATTGGGTTACTAGTTAAGTGTATATCTGTAATATTTGAGGTACAATATGATAAAATTAGTCACCCATGCCGAAAAGGGATGTATGTATGTGTGTGTATGTGTGTATGTATGCATGCGCAATAATATAAAAGATCTCGCTAAAAGTGAGGAAGAATCTTGTGAAGAAAGATTTCTTAAATGTAATTCAGGTATGTTGATTTAGTGATGAATTTGGTCTACAATTTTGGGAGAGTCATGTATTAACTTATATATACAATGCACCAAACAATTTGGCTTTTTCTGCCTCATGGTCTTACATTAAGTGCATGTGAAGTGCATGTGAAATGTGTGATTTTTGTTGAAAGACTCAAGATCAAAATTTACTTTAAAACTGATAATTTAAAATATTTCTCCTGCTTCAGTTTTACAGAAATGTATTCCCTTACTCATTTGTTTCTGGTAGAGAGCTTCAATCCAGTTCACAGAGGAGTAATAAATGAATTTTAGATCATTTTAGAGCACTTGATGCTCTATGTACAGGTATTAGGTCCAGAGACACACAAACATGAACAAAATAAATATATCCATGATGTGAATCAAACAAAGTTGCATTCCTCTAGCTTCACATGAGATGGAAACCAAACTTTTATGTTTTCTTTGATTTTGTTTTAGGTTTATTAACATCTCTAATATATAATACTTAGTATTTTAGCCATATAGAAATTAGCTAGAAAACTATTGTGCCCTCCTAGTGAGAGATCTAAAGAGTGTACTGGTTTTTATAATTGAATGGTCAGGGTCCTAAAAATTAACAAAATGGCACACTCAAGACGGGTAAGTGAAATGCAATTAATTAAGGGACTATTATCCAAAATGTGGGCAGGATTAAGGGGAAACACAAAGGATGGGAAAACAATTTAAAGTCGGCTATCAGGGCAAGGTATGGTGGTCCCAGGACTAAAGGAATGAAGCACAGGCTGTTATGAATCCAGAAGCCTGTAGTTCTGAAGAATAGGATGGACCAGTAGGATGTGTCCACAGATTAAGCAATTCAGTCATTGCCAAGCCATACCCTAATAGTGAGTGGGTCCCGGGAATTAATACCCTGAACTCTCTCTCCTCTCAATCTTTTTTTTTTTAATTTTTTTTTTCAACGTTTATTTATTTTTTTGGGACAGAGAGAGAGGAGACAGAGCATGGCAGAGGGAAGGGGCAGAGAGAGGGAGAGACACAGAATCGGAAGTAGGCTCCAGGCTCTGAGCCATCGACAGAGCCCGGCCTTGATTTCGAACTCACCAGAGACCCGGCGAGATGCGTGACCTGGCTGAAGTCGGACGCTTAACCGACTGCGCCACCCAGGCGCCCCTCCTCTCAATCTTTGAGTATCCTGCAGAGGCCTTCCACTGTCAAGGCATGCTCACTGTAGACGCCAGCCTCTGGAAACTGCAGAGGGACAGTTGGAGAATGGACCTGGCAAACAGAGAGTATTCCATACAAATAATTTAAGAATATATTTGCTCTAAGAAGTTTATCATCTTTTAGGCATAGGTTGGAGATGTCCCCTCTAGAACACAATGATTTTTCCTGGAAACCAGCATTGAGAAGTGTTCTGTGTCTAGTACTGTTTCTGTTTCTGTCTTTCTGCCTCTCTGTCTCTCTGAGTGTGTGTGTGTGTGTGTGCGTGTGTGTGTGTGTGTCTTTCTTTAAATCTCTCTATTTCTATACAGTGTTCTGTCTGTGTCTTGTGCTGTTTCTATCTGTCTCTTTGCCTCTCTGTTTCTGTCTCTTCCTGTGTGTGTGTGTGTGTGTGTGTGTGTGTGTCTTTCAGTATCTCTATTTCTTTTTTTTTTTTTTTTTTTTTTTTTTTCAACGTTTATTATTTTTGGGACAGAGAGACAGGCATGAACGGGAGAGGCAGAGAGAGGGAGACACAGAATCGGAAACAGGCTCCAGGCTCCTGAACCATCAGCCAGAGCCTGACAGCGGGGCTGAACTCACGGGACCCTTGGTCGTGATGACCTGGCTGAAGTCGGTTGACTTAACCCGACAAAGCCACCCAGAGCCCCAATATATACAGACACATACACATACATACTCATATGCAAACATATACACACATCTATGATTTATCTAAACTGATGCATGTGCTTCTCCTGAAAACTTCCCATATTTTTCTTATGTGTACGGTGAGTCATGTAACTGCATTAGTGTACTTTGGACATGACGCTTACCTTTGGTAACACCTGTTTCCCTCTCTTATTTTCCTTTTTCTCTTTCTAATTTTTTTTATCATGTTATTCTTAAATCTTTCTAAGCTAACTCAAATTCTTTTTTATATTAAAAAAATCATATATGTAAATATATAAAGTAAATTTTTGTTGTCAACTATCAGTACCAGTATTCTCATATTTATTAGTGACCGTATTCCTACAAATTCCAAGATATACAAATCATTATTTTTTAATGTGTAAATGTAAACAAGCATAAATTAATTTTATTAGTTTCGTCCTTTCCCCATGCTCTGTTAAGACCATCATATGCTCTCTTTTTTGTGGAGTTTGCGTTGTGTTCATAACATACGGTTTCATAGCTACCCATATCATTTGAAATTCTATTTAAACTCTCAGTAGCAGAATACCCAAATAGTTAATTTACCCCATAATAATTTACATATCTACTCCTTTTTTGGGTATGCTATCTAAACATCTACTATATTTTTATAATATCTTCAGATCTGCACAACAGCAATCAATACATGACTCTTATTCAATTGCTCTGTGTATTTATGAACTATCTTTTTTTTCTTTTTCTTTTTTTCCACTAATTCTGAACCTCATATATGACCATCTCCTAGCTTTTTTTTCCCTCTCGTAAAATCACTATCATGACAATAATAATAATTGAATATATATGTGCATACCATATGGGGAGGAAGACATAAATAGAAAAAGGGTCTCTTAGGCCTTGAGCTACCTTATAAGCTCGTATTCTTTCATTCCCGTTCCAAAGAGCAAGGTTTGTATAGAATTTGAAGACGTTAGGTCATTTGTTTTGGTCTGTTGATTCTTTACTTGGTTGATTGATTAATTGATTTATAACAACTAATGTTCATAATTATAATAGAAATATGTCCCCAAGGTAGAATCAGCATTCAGTAGATCTTCCCTTCAATCAGATACTTAAACTCTACTCAAAGAATGTAAAATAAATTTCTATCCATTTATATGGTTTTAAAAATAAAAGGATACCATAGCTTGGAGAAAGGCATAATTTCTTTTCCTTTTTCCTTCCCCCATAATTCTTTATTTTTTCAAAAAGCATATTTGTGATTCAGCTAAAGATCTTTTATCAAACAAATTCAGATCATGAATGAAACTTTTCTTCAACAGTAATTCAGCTTATACTGTTTAATTATTGTCTGTGTTGATTCTTCAGAATGTAGCACAGTAGGAAATAAGATAATGCCCCTTCATGAACATTCCAGACCTATTTGGGAGTTAGATGATTCACCTCATCTTTTTTTTTAAGTTTATTTATTGATTTTGAGAGAGACAGCAGCCTCACTCTCTTATGAGTGGAGGAGGAACAGAGAGGGAGAGAAAAAATCCCAAGCAGATTCGTGCTGTCAGCACAGAGCCAGACACAGGGCTTGATCTCATAAGCTGTGAGATCGTGACCTGAGCCAAGATCAAGAGTTGGCCACTCAACCTACTGAGTCACCCAGGCTCCCCCGATAATTCATCTCATCTTAAGGGGAAGTAACATTTTGTAAATTTTTACACTATGAGTGTAAGGTATTATAAGCATTCCTTATCTTTACTGGAATTTATAAGTAAAATTTTAAAAATATATATTTAAGTTCTAGGCATTTTCCAGATTGTTTTGAGGAAGTGATTATCCTTTGTATTCAGATATCTCCAGGCTGAGGAGAAACAGTAATGTTTTATCTGTAGTTTCTCCTTACTCTGTGTCTTTGACTTGCTAGTTTGTCCTTTCTGTATCGTTGAAGTATGTCTAGTCTATACTGTATCTTTTTTTTCTGCCAAGGAATGTTGTTTCTTCCGAGAGAATCAAGTTAATAACAATTTCTCTGTTCATAGAAATGTCCTAAGTGACCCTTCTTACAAGTAATGCATAGTTATTATATGTGCTGCCGAAGCGAGCACAATAATGCATAGTTATTAACAGAAGTCTTTGGAATTGACTAGCGATGAGTTGGTCACGCATGCCATGACCATACAGTTATGGGTAGAGATCCCGGACTATGGAAGAGAGAGAGTTTGGTGCCACCATATAAGTACAAAGATTATGTTGTGAACTTAGAGTAGTGATTGGACAGGAAGCCAGTGAAAACGCAGGTGTGACTTCTAGCATTGTACCTGTCTGCTGATGATGCTGGGGCCTCCATACCACGTGCCCTTGTGAACAATTAGATCTTCTGTGCCAGACCACCCAGCTGATACAAAGTCTTTCTTGACTTGAGTGCAATCCCTCTAACCTGCTTGTCTCTGTCTCTGTGGCTCAAGAGGATGAACTCCTCGAGGACTTCCTGGGTAATCCAGAGCCATGGAGACTAGGAACAAGCAGGAAAGCCAGTTGTAAGGAAGGGACACTTCCGCTGGTCACTGGTCGTGGGACACCAGATCTAATGTGTTCCTGAGATGGATTTCCAGGAGGACATCAGCAGCAGGCAGGCCAAGGAATGTGATTTCCAGGTAAGGGCCCTTCCCTATTCCCTCATTTGAGGAAGCCTGATTACTTATGAGCAAACTAAGGAGAAGTGCACCTAGGATCCTGAGACAAGGAAAGAAAGAATACAGGGTGTGACTTACTTCTTATGTGCGAAGCTTCACTTTAACTTTCATTTTAGATAATCACAACACTTTATCGTGGAAATTTCAGTGGTTTGAAGTTACCCCTGATAAACCTTATAAATTCAATTTTGGGGAGAACTCTCATCTTTCAGATTATAAATAAGGGTATATCCTAAGATAGATGGCATCACAGTAAATTGTGCTTGTAGGCATAAGACACATTACATACAAACACACTAATCACATTATCTAATCAAAGAGAAATGTTAAGTGGTATGAATATAAATTAATTATTTTAACTTTATTTTACACCTAAATTAGTGTTCCCCTTTAAAAATCACTTATTCACCAGATTTGCACTCGTTGAATTTCAGTTGTTTTACTAACATGAAATCCTTGTTAAAAGTCAAGATTTTCTATTGTAGATAATAAATATGTGTCAGTGTCTGTGAAGACATTATAAAGAGGATGTTCTTGCAACATTACACTTGAGGGCTACTTTGGAAGGGAAAACCCTTAAGATGAATATTGAAATTATGTTTGTTGTGGCCGCTGTTAATTATTTTAAAAATTGTTCATGTTGGTTGTCATCTCATTTGGCACAATATATAATATTACTCACTTTAGCTAATTAAGACAAATTTCTGATTGGGTTTGAAAATTTATGTATGCCAGTTCTATCTAGATTTTTCTATAAATTAACCTCTGTGATTTTGTAGTCTGTGGTCAGTTGTTTACAATAATCACACTATTTTTTCTTGAAAAAAAACACACTATATTTTAATTTTAATTGTGAATAACATTTGCAGCAATTAGAAATATATATTGTCAGAATTCAGCATTTCTTTTCCTGATTATAGTATCCACTATCATTTTCTTCCATGCTAAATCCTCTAGAGAAATCTATTAGAGGTTAGTACCTATATTTCCCCCTTTTTGATATTCACACTGCTGAACATGATAATGCGTGCAAAATAGTTTAAACAAAACACAGTAAAAATGAACAGGGCATCATTCTTTGAAGAATCCCAAAGACTGATCCTAAACCAGTTGCATATTTGATTCAAAGTTGCCTTTGTTAGCTATTTAGAGAACTTCATGTAATGATTTCAGTAGGTTTCTTGGCAAGTTTCAAGTGAGACTTAGCTGGTGTTGAAGGGTGCCAGATGTCTTGAAGAGATCGCTGAAGAAAATATGGCAGGGTTCACTGTATGATAAGTTTTGCTTGCCCTTCTACTGACATCTTCACTCTGATGGACTGACAGGTTTTCTGGAGAAAGTGGTAGTTATTCAGTAACGTTAGAAACGTAAGATTCATGTAACTAAATGTCTAACCCACCTTTGTCTAAGGACAGGTGATTTGTATCACAAAGCTTTTCTCCCATAGGTGGTTTTTTTCTAAATCATATAAAAACTGGGTGGATTAATTTTAAGACAGTGCTTATGGACGGCACTTCTCAAGCCATTTCTAAATCACCTCATCTATTCTGAAACTGGGCAAATTTGTTGGAAAGTTTTTTTTTTCCTTTTTATTATAAATTGAATCACTGTTGACAATTGTATTTTGTCTGTATGGGTTGAGGATTTTTTGATACAGTGTGTAATTTCCTAAACATAAAATCTACAATGAAAGAAATATATACTAATTATAAGAGGAAAAAAATATAAGCTTTCCTAATCTAGAAGTAGCCTTAGAACATTCTGGGCCCCACTAATTAGCATCCTCACTATACCAAAGGTTCAATATCCCTCATCTCCCTCATTTTGATTTCTTCATTTTAAACTGTTTTAAATAAGATTTTAAAATTATAATATATGTATATGTCTATATTTATGTATGTGTGTGTGTGTGTGTGTATGCATGTGTGTGTAGAATAAGATTGGCCCCTGGGTAAAGTGAAATAACACAGAGATCATGTATAAGAAAAAATTGTGAAATCAAAAATAAGTTTTGCCTTTTAATTAATGGTTGCATTTTTTACAAAAATAGAATATAGCTTAAAAAATTATGCTTATTGCACCTGTTAGTGTTAATCAATAGAAAATTAAAAAATATATTCATAAATGTCTATCACCTTGATTATTTTATTTTTCCAAGGATTTCCTTTCTGGGATATCATTCACTTTCAAATTTATTCTCAAATTTTCTGTATATTTGTACCTGTATGTATATGTACATGTGTTAAAACACACACACATACATTTGTATTTATGTGTGCATGAGTATTCAGAATAGCAGATGTGTATACATACATAAATAGAAATTAATGTGATATGGCATCCTTATAGTGTTTCATTTATCCTTATATATAAAATAACAAGTGTATATTATTGGTGCCATACAGGTTCTCTGGCTCTAAATGTAAGTTTTAATTTTGTTTCCGAACTAGAGAATATTATATCACTATGGTTAAATGGGTAAGCAATACGAAGACGGTGGTCAGATGGTTAAACCGGCCTCAGAACATTTCCATCCTCACGGTCTGTGAGACCACCACTGGCGCTTGTAGTAGAGTGAGTATAATCTACTTTTCTTTCATGCCTCAAATGAAGTATTTTATGCTACTCACAAAGGGAAATCAGGCAATCCATTGTACAAAGACCAATATTTAACTTCCAAAGTTAGTTGGGAAAGAGTCCTTCTATTAGGAGTATATATTTTAATCCATAAATCATCTAAACTTTGAAGTGAGAAATATATGATAAGCAAAAGAGAACAAACCAAGATTTAAAAAAAATGAATTCTTGTATTAAGGGGATTCTAAATCACATTAGTTTAATTCTGAAATACATTTTTCTCTCCATAGTTTGACTTTGATTAACTTGAGAATATGGAATATTTTTCCTGTTTTCTTCAAACACATTCCACAGTTCAATTTCTATGGTCATTCAGATTAGTCTTATAAAATAATGGACAGTATCTCTATTTTTAAATTAAGTAAGAAGAGTAAAAAATAAAGTGGTCCTTGAACCACTATGATTTTGAAAGCCGGTTGCATTTCTATTTCTATAATCAGTTTTTATAGCTCTGCAACAAATCCTGTACATGTAATTTTTAAACTTCTTTACAGAGAGGAATACTATAATCAGTTTAAGTTGCTCTATTGTACGCTTCTATTGTTACTTGCCAAAGTATTCCCAATTATTTAACAACAGAAATTTTCAAACTTCTGTTTCTAAAATTTTTTTGATGTTTATTTATTTTTTAGAGAGAGAGGGAGAGAGAGGAGAGGAGCGAGAGCAAGCAGAGGAGGGGCAGAGAGAGAGAGGGGTGCCACAGAATTCCGAAGCAGGCTCCAGGCTCTGAGCTATCAGCACAGAGCCCGATGCAGGACTCAAACCCACGATCTGTGAGACCATGACCTGAGCCAAAGTTGGACACTTAACTGGCTGAGCCACCCATGCGCCCCTCAAACTTCTGTTTCTGGACAAGATGGTGTACATGTTGATAGTCTAGCATCTCTGCTGTTGCCAACTATAAAGCTATACAAAATGTATTACACAACTATTCTCAGACAATAACAGGATAAGGACATAAATAGTGAAATAAAATAAATACAGAGGATAAGCCTACCTTTCTGTGGGGGCTACTTTGAGATCACAGTGCAAGTTAATGAGGCCCTAGAAAAGCACAGTGGTATCACTGATGTCAGTAGGCAGGGAGAATCAGTTTGAGACTATTGTGGTGGCTGAAATTTGGAGGACAAGTACCACCAGATTTGGAGTTGCAGAGAGAAGAGCTCTCTGGCAATCCATGTAGAGGGACTCTCAAGACTGTAGCTCAATGCTTAACTGTGCAAGCACATGACACGCTTCACACAGAGAAGCAAAAGGAGAATCTGCAGGTTGCACAACGCTTGGAGACTTTGGAGTGCTCAGCAGCAAACATAGAGCACTCTCACTGAAAACCCTTTGCATTCAACTCACAGCCCAGAAAGAAAATGCATTAGGAATAAGGTTGTTCTGTACTCTTTACAATAAACCTTTATATCCAACCTGGGAAGGATGAAGTGCATGCCTATAAATTAGCTGTCTTCCCAGAAGATAGTTTACTCTTTAAAAGGAAAATTAAAATTTAAAATATCAATTACACAATCAAAACATTCTATATATGTAGAAAAATAGAAAATGTAACCTGCCTGCCTCTCACCCCCCTGCCAAAATATTTATAAAAGCAGACTTACACACAATAGAGTTACTAAAATTAACAGATACAGATTTTTTAAAAATCTGTTTGAAAGATAGTTAGTAAATTAAAGGGTGGCCCTAATTAATGAATAGATGAGACATTTCAGTAGGTAAATAAACTGTAAAACAGAGAACAATGAAATTTCAGGAACTCAAAACAACAGTAACTGAAATGAAAAATTGTCTGGATGGGTTAAAACACAAACTGGACACTGTTGTTGTCAGGGAAATAAAAACAATTCAAACTGAAGTCCTGAGGAAAAAATGACCGGAAAAAAAAAAATGAACAAAGCCTCAATTACCTGTAGAACAATATGAGCTGATGTATATGTATGATGGAATATACACAGAAGGCAAGATATGAGATACTGTGGCAGGAAAAAAAAAAAACGAATTAATGACTTAAGGGGCACCTGGGTGGCTCAGTCAGTTAAGTGTCTCACTTCATCTCAGGTCATGATCCCACGGTTTGTGGGTTCAAGCCCCATATCGTGCTCTCTGCTTTCAACTCAAGAGCCTGCTTGAGATCCTGTCACCCTCTCTCTCTGCCCCTTGCCCACCCCCCCTTCTCTTTCTCAAAAATAAATAAGCATTTAAAAAAAGAAATAATGACTTTAAATATCCCAAATTTGAAACAAAATAAAACAAAACATTAACCTATATATCTAAGAAGTTAGCAAACCCCAAACAAGATAAAAACAAAGAAAATAAGTAGGCACATAATATTCAAATTATTGCAAACCAAAGATTAAGAGGGAAAAAATGAAAACAGCTTGAGAGAAAAATATATTACATATGGGAGAATATAATGATGAAAATTACTGCCTCTGTGTCATCAGAAACAACATAAGCCAGAAAGCAGTGGAATGCATTTTTAAAGGACTAGAAGAAAAACAGTGTAAACTCGAAGTCTATGTCCTATGAAAATAACTTTCAAACATGAAGACAGACATTTACAGATGAGTAAAAACTGAGATAATTCATCACAAGTAGATCTGTATAAATAACATCAAATTAAGTTATTCAGTCTGAAAAAAAAAATAGCACCAGATGGAAACTCAAGTCTAAATGAAGGAAAGAAAGGTGCCAAAAATGGTAAATATGTGAGTAAAATAAAAATGTCTTCTAGTTTTTTTTATATATTATAAAAGGTAATTGATAATTTAAGTAAATCAAAACTATCAAACTAAAAGGCTTGTACACAGCAAAAGAAATAGTCAAGAAAATTGAAAAGCCGGCCTATGCAATGGAAGAATATATTTGCAAATCATATATCTGATTAGGAGTTAAGTCTAAAATATATAATGATCTCATATAACTCAATAGCAAAATAAAACAAAAACAAAAAAATCTAATAATCTCATTTAAAAATGGACAAAGGACCTGAATAGACATTTTTCCAAAGAAGATATTCAAATAGCCAACAGGTATATGAGAAGATGCTCGGCATCACTAATCATTAGGGAAATTCAGTCAAAACCACAATGAACCTTACACTTGTTAGCATGGCTATTATCAAAAAGACAAGAGATAAATAGAATCAGGGCGATGGAGAAAGGGAATCCTGTGCACTGTGGTAGGAATGTATATTGGTACAGTCACTATGGAAAACAGTATGGCAGATATAAATTAAAAGTAAAACTTCTGTATGATCTAGCAATTCAACCTCTGGGCATGTATCTCAAGGAAACGAAATCATTATTCAAAGGCCTCTTTGTCAGCCCAGGTTCATTGCAGCATCATTTAAAATAGCCAAAACACGGGGTAAATATGTCCATCAGTGGATGGATGGATAAAAAATGTCACACACATATACACACACACACCACACTGGAATAACTATTCAGCCATAAAAAATAAAGAAATCCTACAATTTGTGACAACAGTGAGGGAACTTGAGGGCATTTATTCTAAATGAAGTAAGTCAGACGGAGAAAGACAAATACAGTATGATCTCACTTATATGTGTATTGAAAAAAAAATTAGAGAAAAAGAGATTGTTTGCAAAGGGGAGGGTTTGGGTGGGAGTGGGGAAACCGGGTGAAGGTGGTTAAAAGATACAAACTTCCAGTTACAAGATAAGTAAGTTCTGGGGAAGTAATGTACAACATAATTATGATAGTTAACAATACTTTATTGTATATTTGAAAGTAGCTAAGAGAATAAATCTTAAAAGTTCTTATCACAAGGAGAAAAAATGCAGTTAAGTGGGGTAATGGATATTAACTAAACTTGTTGTAACCACTTCATAATATATACATATATGAAGTCATTATGTTATATACCTTAAACTTATACAATGTTCTATGTCAATTATATCTCAATAAAACTGGATAAAAAGGAATAAATATTATAATTTCTACAATCTCCAGAGAGTGGAGAAGGAAGGAAACTTTTCAGTTCATTTTGTAAGCATAGTATAATCCTCTTAACAAAACGAGGCAAGGCCATATGAGAGAACACTTTAGACTGATGTCTCATGCACGTATATACAAAAAATTCCTTAAACATATTAACATATCAACTGTGGCAATATAGAGAATTGTGCACTGTGACTAAATGGGGTTTATTTTGGTAATTTATGATTGGTTTAATATTGAAAAACAATCAGTGTAATTCATTATTTTAATAGAAGGAAAGAATTAAAATAAACAGTTATCTCAATAGTTAAAAAAAAACAGTTGACAAAATTCATCACTCATTCATGATAACTTCAACATAAATGAATAGAAAGAAATTTTTCAATTTGATAAAGGATACCCACAAAATACCCCAATAAATAGACTCTATGGTAAAACAGTTTCCTTAGTTATCTTAATACCAGCAATAAGGTAAGGATATACATTCTCACTCTGTTATTCAAACTTTATTAGAGATTCTAACCAGAGTAACTTGGTGAGGAATAAATATCATGGTGATTGGTAAGGAAGAAGTAAAATTCTATTTGTGGATGGCATTATTGCATAAATAAAAAGTAAGAAATCTACAAAAAAAGACTAGAGTGGGTCATAATTCACAAATCAGTGTACCAGTTTAAATTATTTGTTCAATTTCCTGATTTTTATTATTTTTCTATAAATAAATGTGAGTATATAGGATACTGTAATTTTCTTGAACACTTACTGAATTATTTAGGGGCAAATGGATATAATGACTCAAAATTTCTGTTAAGTTGTTTAGAAAAAGTATATTTTTAACATTCAATTGATTTTGAAAAAATATATTTTTTGCCCTCTTTTCAAATGGTTTAAGAACAGGAGAGAGATATAATAATAAAGCAAATGGAACAAAATAGGAATTAATGAGGGATATGTCTAAAGGCTGTG